CTGTCAGATATCATCTATACTTGTCCCATCTATGCCTCGTCCACACTGTGCCTCGACCCCACTGGGCTACCGTTTTTTTTAAAATTTATTTCTTCTAATTTACAAAATTTTGAGAGATTTCAAAAACATTAACAGAAGTCGAAAGTCTACACGCCGCTTTCAAATGACAAAAATAAAATATTAAAGTCATCTTAGCAGCATGTCTAGCATCTAATACGATTTACCATAGTTTTTGCAGTAAGTATACTTCATTCATGTTGTTGCTATGGTTTCTTTGTATATGTGAATTCTAAACAAACATTTTTCATGTACGGTTGGTAGTAGAGAATATATTTCAAAAAAATATTTAGTGATTTGCAATAATTATGTATGTATATCAATTTTTCGATTAAAATATAATGGCTACACCTCTGTTTTCATTACAATTAAAACATAATGCAATTCCTGGTTTAGTAACCATTGGTAAATATGACGGATCTCATCACTGTTTAACATTAGCAACAACTGAAAATAAGGTAAAGTAAAATTTAAAGAAAATTAATAATTGTTCTTTCATCATCATAAAGTTTTTAAAGTTATGTATGAATAATTCTTTTTAGTCAATAAGGAAATTTTTTTGTAAAAATGTGTACATCTTTACAACAAATGTTAACTATTCAATATTTAATGAAATGAAACTTTTAATAGGCATGTTTGATATAAATAGCATCAAACCCGAGTTAAAAAAAAGGTTTTGACTTTGATTGCAAGGGATTTTATTATTATAATATTAATTCTAACATGATTATTTGTATTAAAGTTAAAAAAAAAAAAAATAATAATAATATAGGCTCTTGTCTCAAAAGTAGTATTACAATAGGCAATTGAATGGAAGTGTATGTATGGGTTTTTATACTCTAATAAAATTAGTTAAATTGAAACCTAGAATAACATATCCAAATACTGATATTTAATATTTTATGACTTATTTAAGTTTTAATTTGCCCGTATTATCACGCTTCACCGTTCGTTTGAAATGTTCAACACACACGCTCTATCTTCAGAACTATATTGAATTTCTTTCTTCTAATTTCCAAAATTTCGATTCGTTTAGATCGACTTTGTTTTCAATTATAATGGAGTTGAAAAAAGTATTCGTTGTTTTGTTAGCCGAACTCGTAGATATTCCAGCAACTACCTATCCTAATTTAGTTTCTTGGAAAATAATTTTATTGTCATTTTTTGTATGTTTACCAGCCATTAATATAGTATAAAAACATTCTGCGCCTAGTAAAACATCTATCTTTTTGGTACATAGTAATGTGGATCTGCTAACATTATTATTATCTCAGGTATCTTTACGTTGGTTGTGTTAATTTTATCAGTAGGCATCATTATTTTCGTTAACGATAGAAATTCAAGTTCATTGATGTACTTGTTATCTCGGGACTGCATTATCGTTTTGATAGAATAATATGATTTGATCATTGAATTATTAACACCGGCTATACGGACATAAACTCTTTTTTTTGGCAACTTCAATTTTTGCGGCAGTTGGGTCGTAACAAAATGTGTAACAATGCTCGAACAACAAATTTTTCTTTTTATTTTCCTTTAATAATTATTATTGCTGTTGACAATAACACTTGTTTTTGATTTTTACACATTATATAGAGTGGCCCACCACTCACTAACAACTGAAATAACTTTTGATCCAGTTAATATTTTTAACTGATTTTTTTTTAAATAATAGTTATACGTTAGGTCCATAGCTATATCTCAATAATTAATTTTTTTACATTTTATTAAAAATATTATTTATTTTTAAATTTTAAATAAAATGTAAAAAAAAATCTAAGATAGTTATTGTGTAGAGTAGAATTTAAGAAAAATTTTAGTAAAAAAATATCTTATTAATATTGAGTAGTAAATATTCTGTAGCGTTTTGAAGTTTGTGAAAATTTGAATTTTCATGTATTATTTTACGGTATTAAACATTGAAATACGTATTGAGAAAAGGACAGAAGAAAACGCTATCTTTTCATGATTACTGTGTATACATATGATGATAATGTGTATACATTACAAACTTGGCATTAATACCATGATAAGAAATTAGATAAGGCAATTATTACTTATCACTCTCATTCAAAAGTATATTGAAAAGATAGCGTTTTCTTCTGTCCTTTTCTCAATACGTATTTCAATGTTTAATACCGTAAAATAATACATGAAAATTCAAATTTTCACAAACTTCAAAACGCTACAGAATATTTACTACTCAATATTAATAAGATATTTTTTTACTAAAATTTTTCTTAAATTCTACTCTACAAAATAGCTATCTTAGATTTTTTTTTTACATTTTATTTAAAATTTAAAAATAAATAATATTTTTAATAAAATGTAAAAAAATTAATTATTGAGATATAGCTATGGACCTAACGTATAACTATTATTTAAAAAAAAATCAGTTAAAAATATTAACTGGATCAAAAGTTATTTAAGTTGTCAGTGAGTGGTGGGCCACCCTGTATAAGTACTTATTACATTTTCGTTGTCAAGTTCCTCTGACAAATGAGGCAACGTGTTGTTTTTCTTTACATTTTCTACATCCAGAAAATTTATATGCGTGACTTTCCGATCGTTGAGATAAACATACCTCACAAATGTTGAGTTGATTGATCTTATTATGGCGATCTTTTATGTTAGATCAAGAAAAGTAGTATTACAATAGGCAATCGAATGGAAGTGTATGGATGGGTTTTTATACTACAAAAAAGTTAATTAAATTAAAACCTAGAATAACATATCCAAATACTGATATTTAATATTTTATGACTTATTTAAGTTGGTTAGTTAAATTATTGTATACGATGAATAGTGTATATGAGAATTTTATCTCCTAAAATTTTTCCTCATTATGCTAATAACAACTCTTATAATTTTAATTAATCTCATATTTTATAATAGATGTCAATATAAAATGTTAGGACAATATTAACATTTAATAATGAAACAAAATATAATTACAATTGTAAAATTTTAAATCATTGTGATAATATATTTTTTTAATAGATATTAATACACAGTCCTCATAAACCAGAAAAAGACATATCATATTTAAACATAAATCAAAAGATAACTTCAATATTAGCTGGTAAGGTTATACCAAATGAAGAAAAAGATATACTTGTGGTAGGAACTATTGGGAGTATATTAGCATATAATGTTGATGCTAACAGTGATCTATTTTTTAAAGAGGTGAGTTGTGTCTTAAAAAAATTTGGTGTGTAATGATATTTAAAGATTAAAAAATAATGTTTTTAATAATTATTATTAAATTTAAGTATAGATGTAATTTCTGACGATTATGTAAAAAATTGGTTACAATACTATCACAAAATATTTTTATAACATTAAAATATACGTAAAAAATACAACCAATGATACTGATTGTTAACAAATATTAATTTATGGAATGAGGATGGACCAATAACATATTTTAATTAGTAACATAGATTTTTGCATTGTTTAAACATTTTAAATTGAAATGCGTTCCAAATATGTATTCCAAAGTTGTTCTCTATACATCTTAGCAGTTTCAGCTGGATTTGTAGCTTCATAAATACCTCTACCGACAACTGCAACGTCAGCTCCTTTAATTAAGATGACATCACTTGGTATTTGATATTTTTGTCCAAGATGATCACTTGAGGTTTTAATGTTAACCCCAGGAGTAAGTTGTAAAATATTTGGCATGGATATAACATTATTAGTTTGACAGACTAAGCCTACAACAATATCTCTATAGTTTTCTGCTATCTTAACAGTTTCTGTAACAGTAAAACTCAATTAAAAATAAGAATATTTACTAAAAAATATTATTAAAAACTTCCAAACCTTTAGTATATTGTTGAGTTATTAAATTGCCTTCACAACTAAGTTCAGCAATAATAAACACACCTCTATTATTTAACTGACTTTCATGTTGTATGACTTCTTGAATGCCTTTTAGCATAATTCCACCTGAAATACTATGAACTGTAACTAAATCAGCCCATGAAATTATTTTTTTATATTGCAATTTTACTGTGTTGCCAATATCTGCCATTTTTCTACAAAAAATATTCATTAATTATTTATGAATATTCATTTTACACTTTATTTACACCTATACCTATCTTCCATTATTAAGAAATTATACTGTTTTGCCAATTGTTGTAGTTGTTTAATAGTAGATTCAGTAACCCCATTAATAGCATCAATGTGAACTTTTAGAATACAAATATGTGGAGCTACTTGTTCTGTTATTATTAAAAGTTCCTCAGCAGTTTCAACATCAGCGGCAACACATAAATTTGTTTTTTTTTCTACCATAAGTTTGAAAACTTTTTGAGTCATTTTTGATGTTTCTAATAATTCTGCTCGTCTTTGGAATGATGTTTTTGTCCTTAATTTATTATCTATTGAATAGTTATTAAATTAATATAAAATATTTAATATATTTTGCATACAAAAGACAATAACAGTTTTATTAAAAACTGTTATTAAATGATAATAATTAATTATTTATTACCATAGTCAATAATATCTATTTGATGATCTTTAACATAGTCTACAACATCTTGATATTCTAGATCACTTAATTTTCCTTCTTCTTTTAAAATGGTAACTATCTAAATAAAAAGAACAAAATTCATAGTACCAATGACTAATGATTTTTATTAATAACAATCAATTTTAAAACATTTTGTATTAGGCATAAATATTCTTTATTTATAGGGAACTTTAAATATGTTAAATCTCCATCCTATTAATTTTAATATAAATTGATTACTAGTAAAAATTACTCACAATGGGAGATATTGAACATTTTAAACCTTCCTACTTTTTTGACATATTTTATTAATTTTAATTATAAATTACAATATATAATTGGTGCATCAAGCATTTATTTTTTATAGAACAAAACTAATAGTAGAAAAAAAAATAAGGTTAAACATTTTTTTTATAAAATTATTATGTACTATAGAAAACATAAATCATTTTATGTAATCTAAAACTTATATTATACAATGTATTGACTAACTTGTGTAATATTAAAAAGACATAAAACTTTCAATCCTTTTTTGGATAAACGCTGTAATCCTCCTTGTTGTCTGTCTACTATTACTATAACATACTCAACATTCAAATTGCTATATTGCAAATCCTATAAAAATTATTATTTTTTATAGTAAAAATATTTGGATTTGATTTCTTTTTACTTACTTTAACTGTTTCCATAATACTTTCACCAGTAGTTATTACATCTTCAATTACAATAACATTATCACCACATAAGTATTCTCCATCGATTAATTTTTTAGTGCCATATGTTTTTTGTTCTTTTCTTCGAATTAACATGGGTAAATTAGTATCTATTGATACTACCGTAGCAATTGGTAAAGCTGTATAAGGGACACCACATAAATGTAAAGGTTTTTTTACATTAGTATCACTTTGAATTGAGGCTGATACAAGTGAACATATTTGCCGCTGTAACATAGGTTAATTACTGAAATAAAAATCATGTTACATTAGTAAATACTAACCAAAATTTTAGGGTAGGAAACAACAACTCTTAAATCTAAATAAAATTTAGACAATTCACCAGACTTTAATTGAAATGTTCCAAATTTTAGAGCTTTTATTTCATGGAGACTAATAATTAAAGCACGTTGATCAATCATTATATTGAAAATAAAATAAACAAGTTTATATAAAACTTAAAGTGATAGTTAAATTTATAACTAATTCAGAAATTATTAACGAGAATAGAATGAATTAAAAGTAACAAACAAAAATATTATGTAATCTTTTCTTGAAAAATTAAAAAAACGCATGGTTATTTATCATTTAAATTGTTTGTAATATTTATTAAACATTGATAATACGTTATCTTAACAATTTAATTTAACGATAAAATTATTTTTAATTTCTACATTACGGACCAAGGTTGTTGTAACACGAATAAGTTAAAGTTAGATGGGCACTTTTTGATTTACTGATAACTCGAACCTGCCTTTATCTAATCTGTTATTGAATGTTAAATAAGTTTATAATATTTATACTTTAATAAAAAGTATCTCCCGGACACGTTGTTAAAAATATTTTCCTGNCGGTGTTGGTCAGACAAATACTCATAAAATAGGGCGACGGCTGATAAAGGTGGCCTGAGTCGTGGGGCATCGTGTATAACGAAACGACTCGGGGCCGCGTCAATCACAATAAAATTTGTTATACATATATATAATTGATGACACGCGCCGTCTACGGGTCGGAAAATATTGTTGTCTACGAGTGGTGAGCGGGGTGGGGCGAATGCGTTACGACAGTCTAGTCTCAAGGTCATACACGACATAATAACACGTGCCGCGTGGAGTTACAAACTTACAAACAAACAACAAACATACAAGTGAAACTAATATAAGCGTGTTAAAAAAAAGATAAATAAATGGTTCAGCAAATTGTTTAATTTGATTGCTATATTCTTAGCCCCAATTGTTTCTTTATTTTTGGATTAAATGTAATTTAATAATTGAAATTAAGTTTGAAGATTAACATTTTATAATGTTCATAATTAAAAAATAAACCGCATAAAAGTATCGGTGAAAAATTAACAATAAATAAATGAATTTCAAATATAAAATAGATATTCATGCATCAATACCGCAAAGATGATACGGATTGTGGTATAACCATAGATGAGTTAAAAACAGATGGTGTACATTTTAATCAATACGTGTAATTTTCAAAAATGTAAACAAACTAAAATCTGCTTCAGATTAGTATCGTCACTCATAGGAAAAAAAAAGTTTATTATGTATTACTGACTTATTGCTTATTATGATGCCGTTGTAAGCGCGCCAAATTTGCCAACACTTTCCAGTTCCGTTTCACCTTTGCGATTTTGGAATACAGATATCCATTTTATATTTGAAATTAATTTATTTATTGTTAATTTTTGCATTAGTTTTTTATGCAAATTGTTTTTAAATTATGAAAAATAAAAAAATAATTTTTTTATTTGTGTACTGGACACACTGAGCAAATGTTATTTTTTTTTAATTTACCTTTGAGGCTGCAGATAAATATGTAGTGTATAATTAGGCTATATTGAGTTTTATTTAAATTATTTATTGCTTAATAAATAATAGACTTGAACGAATAACCACCAAGTATTAATGATGTTTACTTAAATATATAATTTTTTTTCACTAAAAAAGAATTAAAATAGTAAAAAGCACAGGGAAATATTTAAAAAAACCCAGCACAGTGGGGTCGCGGCATAGTGGGGATGTTGCATAGTTGGGTCCAGTATAGATTTAATCTGACAGTGATTAAAATCACTATCATAAGAAACGCTTCGATGCAAATCAGTAGATAGTGTTTAATTCTAAGAAATTGGTGGATAATTACAAAAGCTACATTATCTGCTAGTTTCTTATTAATACCCTGATTAAGATAAAGTATGTCGAATGAAAAAGGGATTATTAAAAAATATTATTTCTCATAAAAAAATTGTGTTGATTCGTACACTTTTCAATGAGTTATAGCATTATAAAGTTAAAAATGTAACCAACCCAACCCAACATCAACTCCTATTTCCTTAATTATATCCAGATTAGTAATTATTTTAATTATATATTATATAATTTTTATAATTAATTATTTTCAAATTATTATTGATTTTTAATATGTTAAAAGTAATCATTTTGAACCTACTTCTTTTTGTTCTTTAAAGTGAAAGTTTTAATAAAAAAAAAATGAATTTATTACCATAACTTTTAACTCAACTTGCAAGTTTGAAATAAATATTATTAAATAGAAAAAAATGAAATTGGTAGATTATTTCAAAAACAACAATAACACTTATTCCCTTAATTTTACCCCGATTTATAACTATAATATATGAATACATAATAATTACAGTAATTAAATTGAGTATGAAAGTGGTATTCAATAATATAATATTGTAATTTTTACGGAGATATTATAAAAATAAAAAGGAGTTGTATATTCATATACTTTTAATGCGTATACAAATTTAAAGGAATTTATGCAATACTTTTTAATAAAAAAATTTTGTTACTTATGAATAAATACACTAAACAAAAGGAACTTTCATCAGAAAAAAAATATACTTTTCTAAATAAACTTTTCGTGATGTTTTCAAATGTGCAATTAAACTTTTTCTATTACTTCTAAGTTTTAATATTATTACTTATTATTAAAAAATAAGTATTTACATATAAAAAAAAATAATTAAGAACAAAAAAAATTGTATTAAATTAATACTGATTTTGATTTTTAATATGTTAAAGGTAATCATTTTGAACCTATTTTTTATTGTCTTTTAAAGTGAAAGTTTTAATGAAAAATACCTTCTCAGCTTCGCATCGAAGCTAAAAAATGAATTTGTTACCATAACTTATAGTTCAACTTGCAAGTTTGAAATTGACATTATTAAATTGAAAAAAATGAAATTTTTAAGATTAATATGCAATCTGGAAATTTTATAATTACTAATTACAGTACATTTGTCAGAAAAATTCGATTTTTTTACATTTTTATCGTAATAGATAACTGAAATAGAAAGAATAGTAATCATATCCTAATAACTTTTGGTGTTTAAAAAAATTCTGCAATTGAAATATTCAGAACTTAATTAATTTTAATAATTTACTTTAATTAAATGAACCAATCAAACCAAAGTAGTTAAAAAGATTTACTCAATTGAGCATATTATCAAAAATATAATTATAATTGTAAAACTCCATCGTTAACTTCAGGTGAAACTAAAAATCATTTTTTTTTTAAATTTATGATTTATATAGCAACATATTACTAAAAAATTTGGCATATTATAGACTGGTAGTAGCACACAGAAATAGAGTTAAAAAATTAATAAATTATAAAGTAAAATTATTTACTTTTGTAGTTGAATACTTTTATCATATCAAATTTAATTCGACAATAAATAATTTAAGAATATTAAAAATTAATGATTTTAATTGTTTGTATGGACAAATCTAGTTAAGCTACTTTTTATTTGAATAAGGAATATTTTTTTGATTTTTAAGAGTAATAACTTAAACTAATCATTAACTTAAATATCATAAACTTAAATGAATCATTTGACGTATCGTTGAAAAAAGTAGGTCTAGTGAGGGTTGGCAAAATAAATCGTAGCCAGAAAAAGAACCACATAGTAAAATAATATTAACATGAATATCAATTTCTTCTCACGAGGGGAGACTATAGTGATAAGATCCTTTATATTTATTGAAATTATTGAATCTAAATGAGATAAATATCAAATGATTTGAAAATTCTATTCTAACTCAAAAAAAAAATGCAAAATTTTAGAAGCCACAAACGGATTTGAACCTCGTACCCTAGGCGTTAAAGATCAAGGTGTTACCCATTCGGCAACTATTCGTTGATTTTTGTTGCATGATAAAATTGGCTATTTAAGCTAACTCAAATTTAAAAATTACTTTTTCGACTTTAAAAAAGTAAAAAATGTTAATAAGTATAATATCATATGTCTTATGAACTTTATTCTATGTCAATGAAATTATATAATATTCATGAAAGTCAGTTTATTCCCCTAATAAAATATTTTAAAATAAAATAAAATACAAAACCTAGAATTTTAATAAAAAATAGCATATTTTTAAATACGGTAGCCTTTTGCGCATAGAAGATAGGTCGTCGGGACAAATTTTTTTTTTTCATTTAGTAGTACATAAAATAAGCTTTAATTTGATATATGTTTAAAGGACGCAGTATTTCCGGAACATTTTCAAAAATTAAGTTGAAAAAGTTAGTTTTTGTAAAAAAGTTGCTATTTTAAATCCCCCCTGTGAGCAGAATAAGTGTTAGATTTTCAAAAAAAAATGATATCAAATGAAAGAAAATTACCTAAGGTTTCAATATAAAGAAATATTATTTTGATTAGTTAATATTTGAAAAAGTTATGGCAGTTTTAAGTACAAAAAACATCGTTATAAAAGGTGATTTTTATCGCAAATATTACATTTTTTTTATAATTTCGACAGCCATTTGCACATAGAAGATAAGGTGTCGGGACAAATTTTTTTTTTTCATTTTATAGTACATAAAAAAAGCTTTAATTTGATATATGTTTAAAGGACGCAGTATTTCCGGAACATTTTCAAAAGTTCAGTTGAAAAAGTTCTATTTTTTATACAATGTTTCAAAGTTTGAACCCCCCCTATATAAGGGGAAATTGTCTAATTTTAATAAAAAGTATGTCAAATGGAAGATGTACTTATAATGTATTTAGAAAAAAAAAAATTGTGCTGATACATGCATTTTTCGAAAAGTTATAGCATTTTTAAGTTGAAAATTAAAAATTGAAAATCGAAAATTTTAACACAAAAATAGTGTTTTTTTAACTACGGCAACCGTTTACATGCAGAAGATAAAGTGTCGGGACAAATTTTTTTTTTTCATTTTATAGTACATAAAATAAGCTTTAATTTGATATATGTTTAAAGGACGCAGTATTTCCGGAACATTTTCAAAAATTAAGTTGAAAAAGTTAGTTTTTGTAAAAAAGTTGCAATTTTAAATCCCCCCCCATGAGCAGGTTAAGTGTTAAATTTTCAAAAAAATTATATCAAATGAAAGGAAAATATCTAAGGTTTTAGTTTAAAAAAAAATTATGTTGATTTGTTGATTTTTGAAAAAGTTATGGAAGTTTTAAGAAAAAAAAGTGAAAAAAATGACAAAATTTGTCGATTTTTAAATTTGTAATTTTTTTGGATATTTCCCCCATTTGCGGGGAACGAGGGAAAATTTTTAAATTTTTAAGGGTAATGTCTTCAACTAGATACAATTTGTGATCTTTTGACGTATTGTTAAAAGAAATCGGTCCAGTGAGAGCTGAGAAAAAGTAGTGACAGACACAAAAAAAAAAAATAAAAATAAAAAAATAAACACATCATGGTAAAATTAATACCTTCTCAGCTTCGCATCGAAGCTAAAATGTGTCCAGGAAATACTTTTTATTGATGTATAAATATTATAACCATATTTATAATTCAGTAACAGATTAAATAAAATTGAATTATTTTATTTGTAATAGAGTTAAAAATACTGATGTAGGTAGATTTAAGATAAGTCAAAAAATTTACCAATAAATAGTACATTGGAGCTAGTCAAATTATGGCTATTATTTGAAATTCCGTTAATATGCATTGATTTTCATGTATACACGCATAACCAATTATTTGATACAATTATTATAGTAAAAGGTGCTATACAATAAATTTATGACTTATATGTGGTGTCACTGGCATGTTCGAGTTATCAGTAAATCAAAAAGTGCACCATCTGAATCTATCTTATCTGTGGTTAAATAGACAGGTTTGACATCATAATTGTTTTTAACGCTAGACCAGTTAAGCCTTTATTAATATAGTGTTGGGGGACCAGGCTACGTATCACCTCTTGTGTTTAATATAACTTATTTTACTTTTAAAGACATATTATCAGTAAATAATTGTTTATTTCTCGTTTGAAATTTATCATAATTTTTTACAAAACCATTATTGCGTAAAATTTTACAATATAACTAATTATCGCATTAATTCAATTTTCTACTTTGCACATATTTAGAAACTTTTTTTAGCTTAAATTGTTTGCCATAAATTTTCAAGTTTATTCTTGTAACATTTATTACATGTATTTATTATTGTATTTACAAATACAGCAATTTTGGAATATTATTTAAAAATTAAACATTATTGAACAAAATAAAATTGTCTAGACCAGTGGTCGGCAACCTTNAGACTACGGTATCATTTGCGGCGGAATGTCGTCGGGCGTGCGGCGCTTGCTGGACTTTGCACAGCGGCGTATAACGCGAGGTGTTGGTCAGTCAAATACTCATAATAGGGCGACGGCTGATAAAGGTGGCACGAGTCGTGGGGCATTGTGTATAATGAAACGACGCGGGCCGTGTCAATTACAATAAAAATTTGTTATATATATACATAATTGATGACACGCGCGCGTCTACGGGTTAGAAAATATTGTTGTCTACGAGTGGTTAGCGGGGTGGGGCGAATGCGTTACAACAGTATAGTCTCAAGGTCATACACGACGGGATACGCGACATAATAACACGTGCCGCGTGGAGTTACAAACTTACAAACGACAAACAAACAACAAACAACAAACAACAAACATACACGTGAAACTAATATAAGCGTGTTAAAAACAATCTATTCTATTTTTTTTTTTTACTAATCACACGATTCTTTTAATCATATACAAATCCAATAATTACATATAATACGAACATTAAGTAATAAGAAAAAAAGGAGTAACATCACCCAGCCACTTGACACTTCTTCGGCCGCGTGATATCGCAATGCTTGAGATTTCCATAACAATACTTCTTGGCCGACGCCAACAATTCTGAGTGCCACGATTAATTTTATAGTGACAAGACGCACTAACTCGACGAACCACAGAAAAGGAAACACCACCGGTGTGTGGACGCTAAGGACACCAACTCCAAATATGGATTGGGCCTTTAGTAACCGTACGTTGGGGATTCGCCTATACCGGCCGACACAAACCCAACAAGAAAACTATGCTAGCTCACTGGCTACGAGTCATTGGACTCAACGGTTTGATATGACGTCAACTGCGGACACAAGCGTAGTGACAGCAAGCTGTCGGTAGTGCCGGACACGATTGTCGTCATTACATGGAGAGGGGTAATGCGATTTCGAGCTATGTGGAACTTGACCGGCTACACACATAACTTTTGAACATCCTCCTCCTTGGAAGACGACCACGTCTTACAATTGAAGCTGAGATAATTGATCTATGAAAGGTACAGAGCACTACAGAGCTTGATGGCATGGGTGGTTATATAACTTTTTGAAAGATGTATGGATCAATATAATTCTTTTTTTTATAGATGCATGATGTCTTTACCTATCATTTGGTATATTTTTTTTTTATATTTGACCCTATACCTGCCCATAGGAGAGGATTTAAAATGACAACTTTTTCACAAAAAATTGACTTTTTCAACTTAAATTTTGAAAGTATTCCGGAAAGTCTGACACTTTTATATATATCTTAAATTAAAGCTAATGTAATTTACTTTATTCTGCAAAAAATTTTGGACTTTATTTTGTCTCCACAGTGAAAATGGCTACTAAATTCTATTATTGTGTGAAAATTCTCGATTTTATTTTTTACATTTTTAACTTTATAATGCTATGACATATTGAAAAGTGTATGGATCAACATAATTTTTTTATGAGAATTAATATTTTTTAATAATCCCTTTTTCATTCAACATACTTTATCTTAATCAGGATATTAATAAGGAACTAGTAGATCATATAGCTTTTGGAATAATCCACCAATTTTTTAAAATTAAACACTATCTAAAGATTTGCATCGAAGCGTTTTTTTTTTATAGTGATTTTAATCACTGTCAGATATCATTATACTTGATTCATCTATGCCACGTCACCACTGTGCTGGGTTTTTATAATAGTGTGTATAAAATAGTTCTGAATTTATCGTACTAAAATTTTGGGTGTCTGAGCACTACAGGGGTTTGACTGAAAGAAAGAATGAATAGGTTTATAGAGTAGGATATAATTAAAATTATATTAACATAAAATTTACTAACGTAAAATAAATTATTCTCAAAAAAAGTTTACTATTTAATACAGATTATGTCTTATAAATTTAAATATTATTTTTTGAAGTGAAACTTTTTTAAAAAGGGTCCGAAAAAAAACAGATTATCGTTACAGTCGGCTGTAACGTTTTAATTAGCATATTTTAATTAAACGTAAATTAGCATAATATTTTAACACTATATTTTCGAAAATTAATTTTATTTAAAATGTAATAAATAATTTAATTTCAAATAATTTTGATTGTGCATAAAAAAATTTTTAAAGAACTACAATAGATGCAATTTTTACGTGATATCTTCATAACGAAAGAAGTTTCCCTTAATCCGCGCGTACTCGTAACACACACTGGTTTTTCTTTAATAAATTCATGAAATATAAGTAATTAAAATTAAAAAGCAATGTACAAGTTTTAGAACATATTATGAAAAACTGACAACCTATGTTTCTTAACGTGTCAATTGTGATTCGAATCCATAATTAATTGCAATACATTTTCTTGAAATTAAAATTTCGTATCAATTAAATTGTAGAACTTTGCAGTGAAAAAAGAGGTGTATTAGTGAAGTGATGAGGGGCTATCCCCTTTGTTCTAGGGAATCTATATATCCAAAAACAAAAATTTTATCACATTAAACTCTAGCTACGCGTAACTTTAAAGTATTAAAATTATTAAATGAGCTTAGAAAAATGCTTGGCAAATAAGTCTATATGACATTTTTTCTGGATAAAATAATTATTTTTACATATTGAAAAATAAATTATACATAATCTAACTATATGAAAAAAAATGTCATTAATCATACTTGACATTTAATCGCAGAATTATAATATGTTAGGCGTAAACCAAACCGAACTACTGGACTTAATCCAATGAATAAACTATTGAATGTTTTTTCTTAATACTTTTTATTTTGTGGTATTAAGTTTTAAGCTCTGAGCAAGATTCCGACTACCCCTTCTCTTTAACGCTCAACTTAATTAATTGGACAATGTAATATGATATTGAAAAAATATATTTTGCTCCTCTCTTGGCTAATCCCTTTGGATGTGCTTTATACACCACTAAATTATTGAAATTTTGTAATATATTCTATAATTTTTTAGATTCCTGATGGTGTTGGTGCAGTAGCTATTGGTAAATTAGGGACAATGAAAAATCCATCAATAATCATTGGAGGGAACTGTGCTGTTCAAGTATTTGATTATAAAGGAAATGAGATTTTATGGACTGTAACAGGTGACAATGTTAGATCTATAATAGTAATCGATATTAATCTCAATGGGTTCAACGAGGTAAATTACGTCAAAGTTAAACTAAAATTTTAATTATTTAATAATTAAAATAAAATAAAATTTACTCGAATTATTTAAGTTACTCGTTGGTTCCGATGACTATGAAATAAGGGAGTTTAAAGATGATAGGATAGTGAATGAAATATCTGAGACGTCACCTATATGTTCATTAAATAATCTTTCGATTGGGAGATTTGCTTACGCTCTGGATAATGGAACAGTAGGAGTATATGAAAAAACACGACGTGTATGGAGAGTTAAGGTATGTAAGTGTTTCGTTTAAAATTATTAATAAACAAAAAATAATAATGATAATTAATTTGTTTTTAAGTAAAGTTCGTTAGAAGTAAAAAGTTAAGACGATTTTCCCATTTTTAGTCAAAGAGTTCAGTGACTTTTCTTGAAAAGTATGATTTGGATGGAGATGGAAAAGAAGAATTAATAACCGGTTGGTCAAATGGTAAGATCGACGCTCGCAATTCCAGAACAGGAGAAGTTGTATTTAGAGATGCGTTATCGTCGGGCATAGCAGGAATAGTTGTTGGAGATTATAAAAGAGCTGGAAAATGTCAACTTATAGTGGTATCAGTTACTGGGGAAGGTAAACATTAATTTTAGTATTGTTCGATTAAAGTTATCATATCTTATAGTTAGAGGATACGACAGCAGTAGTCTGAAGGTAGAATCTGGAGTTCAAAACAATGTTATTCATGATCTGTTGCAAAAAAGGCAAATATTAATGGCCGAATTGAAAAATTATGCAAAAGTTTCTAATAAAGGAAATGGTATTCCGGTATGTATTAGTAATTCATATTTATGCATTGGAAATGAAAGAAAATTGAATAAAAAATCTTAATCAATTGCATAGGGAGATACTCGTTTAATAACAGAATTGTCAGTTTCAGAAGATATGACAGTAAGACGCCAGTTTGATATTACAATCATAATACACAAATTAATAATTATCTGCTTTTGTAGCCTCCTTGTGTACTGTTGACGCTGTTGACTAACAACTCGACTATTTTACGAGCTGTCACTGTGTTTGCCGAAGGTATTTTTGATGATGAAACGCACGTTGTTCACCCAAAGAAAGAAAATGTATCATCAACATTAACAATATCATTATTTCCTCCTAAAGATATACATTTGGATATTCATATTCGAGTAAGGGCTAATTATTCATAAAACCAAAAGATTAGTTGCATTAATGAAAACACACTTTTATTTACTCATATTATTATCATACTTATATCTAAGAATTTAATTTTAAATTAAATTTTCCGTACAATTGTGTAGGCATTTGTGGGATCTCACGTAGACAACGACCAATTTCATGTTTTTGAACTTACAAGGGTAATACCAAGATTTTCAATGTACTTATTAATTCCAATTTTAGGTACAGAACACTTACCTGAAAGTTACGTTAAATTTCAACTAGTGGAAAGAGTTCAACGAGTAAGTATGACTTAATATTATCACTGAATATAGGTGCAAATAGAATTACGGAGAGTTATAACCTTCAGAATAATATTTATTATTCATAATTTGATAAAATTACTCAAAACAAAAAAACCAATTCAGTGGGGTTCAAAAAAAATTGGAACAGCTATAGATAATATCTTATAGTGATTAACATCATAAAAAACGCTTCAATGCAAATCAGTAGATAGTGTTTGATTTTTAGAAGGAATTATTCCAAAACCAATATGAACTTCTATTTCCTTATTTGTATTTGATAACAAGTTTTATACTTATCATAGTAATTAAATTTAATATGAAATTGATATTGAATAGTTTAGAATTGTAAATTTTACGGAGAAATTATAAAATTTATCCCTTATACCCTTTAAATGTGATAATTTAATTTTTTTGTCAATCTTACTGTGCTGGGTTGAAAATATCGAAATTCCATTAAATTAATCAATATATTTTCTTTTATTATTTTTATGAAAAATATTTCTTTAACATGTAATATTATTAAATACTCAATAATAAATTAAACACTTCAAACTTCATTGAGATTTTGTTACCTCATTTTTCTGCAAATATCCCCTAAAAATATACAAAATATTAAAATGTCGACCTTTAGTTATTATATTTTAGTAATAATAATAATTAGGGTCTGGAATTACATTAATTAATAAATGTTGTTTGTTACTTTGACCGGCCCCAATTTGTCGTATAATAATATAGTAGCATTACTAAGTTTTCAAGTCAATTATTAAAAAAAAATTATTGGCTGATGATGGGTTAAGAATAACATAACAAAATATATAAATGCAATAATTCCGGGCTCTCATAATAATAATAGTTTTGCTATGTAATCTTACCTAGAATTTTAGTTCTAGAAATTCATATGACCGGCATTATATATGTGGGTACCATTGGTGTCTAGATGGTACCACTTTCAGGATCTGGAGGTATATAGTGGTATCATTAAGTATTATAAGAAGGGAAAATTAAATCAAGTTGTGAGTCGGCTAAGACGTGTCTCTATGTACATTTTTATTTTTATATATGTGTTCTGTTTTATATATTATTTTTGTGTTGTGTGAATTTTTTACAGAGTTTTCGTGTGTGATTAAATATATATGTTATTTTTGTTTGTTAATATTTAATAGAGCTTTTGTGTATTAATAAATTTATATATATATATATATAAATTAAATAATAATATTGCGTCTTCGCTCTGTTCCTGTTGTATTTCCCACATTTTTTGGGGGCCTGTCCGGGATCATCGGTCAACAAACGGGAATAGAGATTGGAGAAGATATCTTTTCTACTCAAAATCCGGAAAATTTCAAACTATTTGTTGTGCATATTATAAGTGTTGTTAGTGACAAAAATATATAAAACGTTTTTGTAATTGTATTAGCATACGACTCCATTTTGGTTGAGTAAACGCGCAATTTTTCATTGTTCGTTTTCGCCAGATCTAGTTATTGTTAATCGGTTTCTAACATCAATTTGAATTAGATAAAACCTTTTGATTATATAACAGTTCGGGATGCCTAAAAATAAAAATTCTAATGAAACTATGGATGAAATTTCTAGACTTCGAGAGGAAGTATTGGCTTTGAGACTTGAGCATACCAAATCTCATTTAAGCTTTAGAGATGTTGAAGAATCACTGTCAAAGTTTTCTGGTGATGATGCTTATCCAGTTAATCGATGGATTGAAGAAATGGCTAGTGTACTACGTTGGTCCGATCCTGAGAAGTTAATTTTTGGTAAACGTTTATTAATAGGAACGGCTCAATTATATATTCAATCGGAAAGAAGAATTACTACTTGGACAATTTTAAAAGATAAACTGAAGAATGAGTTTAAAAGTCGTATGAACACAGCTGCTATTCATCGTTCATTGTCTGAGCGATTTAAGAAAATTGATGAATTATATCAGCAGTATGTTTTCAAAATGAAACAAATTGCTCAACTAGGCAATATTGAAGAAGATTCTCTTATTGATTATATCATAGCTGGTATAAGAGACTTAGAAGTCAACAAGATGATACTGTATGGCGCTACATCCATTGATGAGCTAAAATTGAAACTTGAACTGTATGAGAAAATGAAGTTAAATGTAAGGGCAAATACAAAGTCAAACATAAATTTCAGCGAAAAAAAAAATTGAATGAATCGCTTAATGCTTCATTTAAATCATATAAACATGAAGGTTAATCAGCAAACATTAATAGCTGCTACAACTGTGGTACGAAGGGTCACCGTTCTAGTTTTTGTCCTGATTCTAGTAAAGGATTTAAGTGTTTTTTATGTCAGGAATTCGGTCATAAAGCATCATCATGTTCTTATCGTCCATCAACTAGTCGACCAAATACTGATAGAAGTCAAAGAGATGAAAATATTAAAGTACAAGTGAATCAAGTTAATGATGTCATATATCCTATTTATCGTATAAGTAAATTAGTTGATATACAAGGTGTAGAAACTAATGCTTTAGTTGATACTGGTAGTGATGTGACTCTCTGTCGAAGGTCATTTATGTTGAAATTAGATGAAATCACAATTCGTAAAGATAAAATTTTACTAAGAGGACCAGGAGGAGTTAAGTTCTACACAGAAGGTGTATTAACTTGCAAATTAAGTGTTGATGGATCATCATATACTATTGATATTTATGTTGTTCCTGATGAAGCCATTACATGTGACCTGTTAGTAGGAAAAGTTATATTTCAAACAAGTGCTGAACTGCACATAAATCCTAAGTGAGTGAGAATAACTAAATTTGAAGAAGAAGAAAATCAAATAATGTCTATTAATATACCTTGTAATGAGCTCAACATAGGTGCATCAACTTATACAGAGGAAATTAATAATATAGTGAAAGATTATGAACCAAATAAAGTAAAACATGCATCGATTGAAACAGTTATTTTATTAATGGATGAAAAACCTGTATATCAAAGACCACGTCGCCTATCTCCAGCAGAAACATATGAAGTTGACAAATAAATAGAGGAATGGTTACAAGAAGACATTATTAGACCTAGTTGTTCTGACTACGCTAGACCAATAGTTTTACCCAGGAAGAAAGATAAGTCTCTACGTCTCTGTGTAGATTACAGGATGTTAAATAGGAAGATAATCAAAGATAGATACCCTTTGCCATTAATAGATGACCAAATAGATAAATTACAAGGAGCTTCAATTTATACAACTCTTGACTTGAGAAATGGATTTTTCCATGTTCCAGTTCATAAAGATAGCATTAAGTATACCTCTTTTATCACATCTAGTGGGCAATATGAATTTCTGCGAACCCCTTTTGGACTGTGTGTGTCACCTCCTATTTTTCAAAGATATATTAACTTTGTCTTCAAAGATTACATTCAAAAGAGATTTTTATTAACATATATGGATGATTTAGTAATATTAGCTAGCAGTTATGAAGAAAGTATTGAACTTTTAAAACAAATATTGCAAACTGCTTCTAAATATGGACTACACATTAAATGGAGTAAGTGTCAATTTTTACATACAGAAATTGAATATCTAGGATACCGAATTTGTAAAAATACTATAAGACCTTCAACATTAAAGACTGCTGCAGTTATAAATTTTCCTTTACCTAAGTCAATAGAAGCAGTGCAGAGTTTTCTGGGTCTTACTGGATACTTTAGAAAATTTATAAAGGACTATTCATTGATTGCTAAACCTTTGACTGATCTATTACATAATGGAGCTAAGTGTTACATATATATAATCCTCATGCTGAAACGGAACTACATACTGACGCAAGTACTAATGGTTTTGGGGCTATATTGTTACAAAAGGATGCTTATGGTAGTAATTTTCATCCAGTATACTATTCTAGCAGAAAGACCAGTGATGCCCAAAAAAGATATCACAGTTACGAACTAGAGGTACTTGCTATTATTGAAGCCTTGAAAAAGTTTTGAGTTTATCTCTTAGGTATACAGTTTAAAATTGTAACTGACTGTGCTGCATTTACAATGATTATGAAAAAAAAAACTCTTGGCGACTAGAGTTGCAAGATGGGTTTTACTGCTTGAAGAATTTAGTTATACAGTTGAACATCGAAGTGGATCTCGTTTACACCATGTTGATGCTCTTAGTCGATATCCTGTATGCTTAGCGATTAAAAATGAATTTTTGATTAAATTACGAAGAGCTCAAAAGATGGATTCGAAGATTAGCGCATTGATGGAAGTTCTAACTGTTTCGACTCATCAAAACTATTTAATTGAACATGATCTACTGTACAAGATAAAAGATGGCCAAAAATTGTTTGTTGTTCCTAGATCCATGCAAAAAGAAAGTAATCAGAAAAGCACATGAAATAGGACATTTTGGTTATAAAAAAGTTGAGGACCTATTGAAGAAACAATATTCCATGTCAAATATGAAAAAAAAAATTGAGAGTATTGTAAGAAATTGTATTCCGTGTATATTGGCAAGTTGAAAAAGTGGTAAGCAGGAAGGTTACTTGAATAGTATTAATAAAGGTGATATTCCATTAGATACCTACCATATAGATCATTTGGGACCATTAGCTGCTACAGCTAAAGGATACAAATATATATTTGCAGTGATTGATGGTTTTAGCAAATTTTGTTGGTTGTTTCCTACCAAGACTACTACATGTAAGGAAGCCATTGATAAAATGAAAACATTGTTTACTACTTTTGGGAATCCAAAAAGAATTGTGTCAGATAATTGAGAAGCTTTTGTTTCACAAGAATTTTCTGATTATTGTAGTAAAGAAAACATCCAACATGTAACGACTACTACAGGAATACCAAGGAGTAACGAGCAAATAGAAAGATTAAATGAAATTATTATTCCAGTCATTACCAAATTAAGTTTAGATCAGCCAGAACATTGGTACAAGAATGTTGCTCACGTACAAATTGCACTAAACAGTTCCTTTCAGAGAAGCATCGGTATGACAACATTCAAGTTGGCATTCGGTG